AGAGCCACTTTTCAAATTGTACACAATCCTTTTCCCATGCCATTGCCTTTTTCAACTACGCACACGTTGCCGTATATTATTGATTCTGGGGTGTGGCCCAAAGTGCAATATGCCTTCAAAATTGTACGGACAGAGGCAGCTGCTTTGTGTCCTGTGTTTTTGTACACTGCTGCCTATGGATTTTATTTTATTTCAAGATTTTTAATTACGCCGCTTAAACTCCCTTGAAACGCGGGTCCCTCCCTCCAACGTACACGACAGCGCCAGCGGGATGGCCTATAGTTCTCTGCCCGTACTTCATTGTAATTGTGCTTTTTTTGAAAAAGGGGAAAAAGAGAATTACCTAAATTATATATTGCTGAGATGGCGTGGAACTGGGGCCAACAACAACTAAGTTTATCAAGCCAAGTTGCATTACTTACTACAACTTGAATTTAGTTTTAAGTCAAATTAACGCCAGGAATATCAGGGGGAGGTTCCAAATTTACGCACAATATTAAGTTGATGTAATTTAACAAACATTATTACGTCAACACAACTTATAAATTAATGTTTGCCAACTTAAAATGTTTAATGCTAAATCAGATTTAACACATTTTATCTTGCCAACCTATGCCCATTTAATTAAGTGGGAGTTGAAAGGTCGCCTGAATTGGGCTCGTTTTTTAGAGCTGTTGGGGTAGATCATACTGCCTGGCGTTTTTTTCTTTTTTTTTGCGTTTTCATTTTAGGCTTTTTTGCTATATCTATATTTATTTAACGCAGCAGGCCGTGACTCATTATTAATGTTACATTGCATTTAGCTGACGCCTTTTATCCAAAGCCGACTTACATAAGTGCCGTTTCGGGGCACCAACTGAAGTAAACAGATCATATACAGTACATCAGGTTTCAGGTTTTTCCCATACATGATTTATTTTTGCAGGCCGGCCACAATTGATATCGTCCACGACAAGATGCGCATCTCATAAAAAAAAATATATATATTATATAAAAATTTTTTTTGCTTTTAGTCTAAGTGGATAGTGAGGTGGGCTGATGATCGGAAGGTTTGCGAGTTCAAATCCTGCCTGGAACACCCCTTACCCTTTGAGTAACACTTAGCCCTCGGTTACTCCAGGGAGCAATGTCCCTGTAATTGGTCATTGTAAGTCGCTTTGGAATAGGTGTCTGCTTACAATGCTCTTGAATGTGTACCCAATGATATTTTTGGAGGAATAAACCCCCAGTCCTCAACTCGCGGTTGTTCACTCATTAACACGCAAACACCCACGGGGCAACAAGATCGTTGTTAAAGTAGCATGAACTCGCATGTATTAGTCTTATTTGAGGGGGGCGTGGTGGGATGTATGGATTCCACCCGAATAGGTTAAGGGCCTTTGGCTTTTCTTGCCGGGGGGGGGGGGGGGGTTCAGTAACCTGGTTCGAGTGATACACTGAAATTTAAATTGTATTATGTCAACAGATATTAAGGTTAGTTGAAACAAATAATATTACGTAAAGAATATATTTAGTTCAACTTAATAGTATGCTTTCAATAACCTAATACAGTTACTGTGGAACCCTGTTTGACATAGTACATTTAAGTAAAAGTCAATCTTTCGTTTTTCAGTGTACTTTGATAGTTACTGGTTGCAAAGGGTTAAACTAGTAATTGTAACAGATTACATTTCTAAAATAACCCTCCCACCTGGAGATGAGGCGACAGATGACGCACCATTAGGCTGAGTGGGACTGCTAGGTCAATGGGGGGCCCGGTGACAATAAGTTGGCAGAGATGTTAGGACAAGGGCTCCTTGGCACAGGAGCCCCTGCTGCTTCTTTTCAGCCCAGAGGGACGGGAACAGATGTTCTGTTAGCCACAGTTTCTCTTCAGCTGAAATTGTTTGTCGTGGTTTGAAGTGAGGCCCCGACGGGCCTATTCATTTTTCAGCCCTTGCTACCAAATCATAGGCATACCTTTATTCACA